CAGAAGAATACAAAGTATATGTCTACAAGGACTCTAACAAACCCTGACTAATAGATCAGATGTAACAATCTAATAACACTACCACATAATATAAACTATATATTATACAAAGATAATAAGACAAAATAATATATGCTAACAGGTACTCCACTCGTTTGATTCAATTCGTTAACGAATCTGCACCGAATCCATGCACGCATCGACTCCTTTCAACGAATCCACCAATTCGTTAATATACGAATTGTACATCAATTCGTTAATGATGAATTGTACATCAATTCGTTAATGACGAATTGTACATTAATTCGTTGACGAATTAGTACAACAATTCGTTATTGACAAATTGAACATCAATTCATTAAGCATCAATTCGATATCACCGAATTGATTAAAACCATTGGTTCGTTAAAAGTCAATGATCGTTAACACCAACGAATCATTAAAACCAACGAATCACGCACATCAACTTGAGTACTATTCGGTTCCAATCGTACGCAATATTAATATTTCCCAACTTACTTTCTACCAAACTAAAATAATATTTATAACTCCACAACTCCAAATATTATTTAAGTTTTTCATGGTAGCACATCTGAAACATTAATCTTCATTACTATATAAATTTCCAACATTCCTCCTCCATTTATATAGTAAAAATTAATACTTTACCAAGATAAATCCAAAACTCATGCATAAATGAAAGTGTCTTAGAGATTGAACTTTCACATAGTGTTATATGCGTTACATTAATTCGGATTGCAGTGATGGACGAACCTTGAATCACGCAGTCTCTTTGAAGAAACGTAGATATAACACACACAAGTTTTACAGTCATTACAACTCACTGTAACTTGACACTATAAATGCCATGTGTCCGTATCCATTAATGAGCACGTACCAAGTAAAGCCCAAACTTGTTTGAAGCGGCCACACTTCATGCTCACAGAGGCTAATCTTTTAACTCATGCACTGCATCTTGCATTTTTTCAAAAGATCAGTTAAGAGTAAAAACTCATCCCTACAACAATGCAGAACCAAGCATCACCTTTTCTTTGGATACAATTTTAATTAAACTTTTGATGCTTGCAATCACAAAATGAAGTACTCATCTACATTGAACTCAAGGTCTAACGTAATAACTTAGACGTGAGTTGAGCTTTCCTTCACTTGCAATTTTAATTTAGGTTTTCCGTATCCCTTCCGATGAACCATGTCCCTTGCAATGACTCTTGCAAACGGATCCGTTAAATTAAACCGGGACCGTACAAAGTGCAGTGCTACAACACCATAACTTAGGAGCTCCCACACATAGCTATATCTCATGCCTATGTGTCTTAACTTGCCATTATAACTTATTGTTATATGCTTTGGCCAGTGTAGTAGCGCTGTCACAATGTACTAAAACTGGTGACATCGGTTTTGGCCAAACCGGAATCTAAATAATCAAATTCCTTAGCCAATCAATTTCTTGCATGTCAAAGCCAACACAAGAAATTCAGATGCCGTAGTTGAAAAAGCAACTTTGCTTTTAGAAACCCATAAAACAACACCTCCTCCAAGCAGAAATATCCATCTACTAAATGAGGAACAAGTTTCATGATTAGACATTCAACTGGCATTAGAATATCTTTCCAGAATGAAAATTTCTATTAAATATACTAAACCATAATTAATGGTTTTATTCAAGTATATCAAAATTTCTTTTAATCTCATCCACTTAGCCAACTGAACATGATGATTGATAGAATTTTAATATTCTATTAATGAACTGGAGAAATAAAATATTCAATTGATTATACCGGAACCCCCTTTATAGGTTCCTAGTCAATAAATATTTATTTCTTGCAAATTCTATAACATGCATCACATTCTAATTTCTGTTGTTTTCTTTATTATTACTATTATACGGTAAAATCTTGAAATATTAACATGCCATATTTAATGACCGTGTATCGCACGCGAGACTTATTAGTTTAGTATATAGAAATGATGAAATTTTTTTTAAAAAAAAAAAGAAAGAAAAGAAGACTAGTCTAACAATATGATTTATGACTTATAAGTTTATAACAGTATGATTTAAATTAGTCTACTTGTATGGTTAATTGTACTTTCAAATCTAATTAACCATTAACTAAAATTTTTAAAAATTTCATTAATCAAATCAAAATATTTTGAATAAAAAATGACTAATTAAAAATTTTCAGTTTCATCGATTAGTCGTGTTTTTTCACTAAATTGTGTACACCCCTAATCGAGGTCCAGAAATCTTGCTTATGAATTTCAATTATTCTCATGACCTAATTAACTTTTGGGCCTCAATTTCCCGGACTCAATTGGCTTTAGACCTGGAGTCCATTCCGCCTACAGGTTTGGCAAATTACACAGTCTACATAGCTGTGTAGACCACAGTCCAAAACGACGTCGTTTTGACAATTAAAAAATTATGTTAGTAAATAACGACGTTTATTCAGCCGGTATGTGTTAGAATAATGAACCTTCTGGGGTTAGATGATGCATTTATGAGTTACAATAATGTACTTTATGAGTTATAAAAATGTATGTTGCAGCATTGGAGTTAAAGGATGAAGCAATGGAGAGGAATATGTAGGTCGCGTAAAAATTTTTAAAAAAAAATTGCGACCCACGTCTCTAACTTAATGACATCATATCTTCTTAAATGAGAGACAATATCATTTTGAACGGTGGCCCGATCCACAGAGCTGTGTGGACTACAGTCCATTGCACACAATAATGATTGCACAGGTTTAAACCAAGATGAAAATAGATGAGCAATCATCATTTAAACCCAAAAAGATGAATAACATTTCAGTTCCCTTCGATTACCGTAATTGGCAATGGTCCAAACCAAACATCATAGTATAGGAGTTTCGTAATCGGCAAGTGATTAAGTTGTATGAGTTAAGTGTTTCATGTAGAGAGGAGCTTGCCTTTGTTTTGCATGCAGTTGCTTCAAAATTCCCCCAACCTATGCAAGTTGAATATTGCGACATAAGATGGTGTAAGACACGAAACCTATGGACTATATATTTGGCAATCATATATGATTGTTTTCTTTTCAATTCTTTGTTAATTTCTTCATAGTTGTGTTGTAGCTATGTTCTTGTGATATAACAACGGGGTACAAGACTTTTCGAGGATCTAAACAGTTACATTATTAAGTATGAATGCATTTTGATAGAAACAAGATTAGCAAGTATGAATGCATTAATTGTGTGGGTAGATGTATTTATACATATATTTTTTTGAAGTTATTATGTGTATTTATATTTTATAAATTATATTTTATTATTATAGCTCTATCTCTATCTCTATCTCTATCTCTATATATATTAAAGCATAATGAAGTATGGAAAAAAGTTTATTGTGTTAAAATTTATTGGTAAAATTTTATATTTAATATAATTTGTGTATATATTCATTTAAACCTCAATTATAATTAATTTGACTCCACATATATAAAGAGGAGAAATTAGATATAAAATAAATATAGTTCTTACATAAATAATCTTTTTTAAATGAATAAGTTTTTGGTGGAGATTTTCGACAAATATCGCATGTTATTTCATTTACAAGTTTTATTTAAATACGTTAGTTATAATTAAAGTAGTTATTTCAAATTTAAATTCCTTTCAAAAAAATTCAAATTCAAATAATAATACAAGTAACAATAAACTTTAAAATCAACATAATAATAGCATAATTAAACTTTTAAAAATATTACATTGTATAATTATACTTACACTTTTAATCAAACTAATTCTGAGCTCAAGAATTCAAGTATGTTTTTTTTAAAAAACAATTACTTTTTTTTGCTAATTCAGACGATGTCAAAAATTTAATTGATAAATTCATTAAATTAATAATAATTCGTGCGATGCACAGAATAATTACTAGTATATGTATATGTAAATATATAAGCATAAAACGGGACTATTACTAGTATGTAAATATATAAGCAAAAATCTCTAAAACTAAAATGAAATCCCTAGACTCAGTCGTCTCTCCACTCTTCTCCACCGCGATTCTCCACTCTCCACTCAGCTCCACCGGCGGCCGGCCTTAGTCTTCTCTGTCTGGCGTATGCTACTCTGATCCGTTTCCCTTCGGCTTTCCTAACCCAGACCAAACATCACAGGCGAGGGTTTCTGTCACTTTTTCCCAATCTCTGTTTTCTTCCCAACTCTTAGCTTCCTAATTTCCTTTTCAAATGAAGCTTGTATTTTGAGCTTGAACATTTAGCACAGTGATGTATTACTAATAGCCCACTGTCGCCGCCAAGGGCCCAAAGAAAAGCCTCGCAGTATTCTGTTCGTTCCAAACGCAAAACATCCAGGCAGTAGGCAAATTATGCTGTGCATCCGTACATACGGATGCAAAAACGACGTTGTTTTAATAAAACGCGCCTCTCTTTTTAAAAAAAAAAAATCAGGTTCGATTCCCAGCAACAACATATGAACTAAAATTTCATAATCGATGAACTATAATTCCATAATCGATGAACTATAATTCCATAATCTAATCTATGAACTAAAAATTCCAGAATGAATGAATTAAAATTCCATAATCTATAAACTAAAATTTCAGAATCGATGAACTACAATTCCATAATCGATGAACTATTGAACTATATTCCATAATCAATGAACTATAATTCCATAATCTATGAACTAAAATTTCAGAATGAATGAACAATATAATATTGTTGCTGAGAATCGAAGCTGAATTTTTTTTAAAGGGGAGACGCGCGTTTTTTAATAAAACGACGTCGTTTTGGCATCCGTATGCACCATGCATGGTGCGTACGGATGCACAGCATAACAATTGCAGGCAGTAGACAGTAGATAAGGCAAGGGTTTCTAACACTTTTTTCCCTAATCTCTTATTTCTTCCCAAATTAAACCAAATTTCTTTTGTTTCCAAAACCTTGTGGGCTAAATTGGAATGCAAATCGAGCTATTTTAACTTCAGTTTCCAGTTTAATGGCGAGTCATCGGAGAAAATTCAAAGAGGATGCAGGAAGGGACGTAATAAGTGAACTGCCAGTGGAAGTGAAAGAAAGGATTTTGGAGTGCTTGCCTACTCGAGACGCTGCCAGAACTGCTTTGCTCTCTACTCACTGGAATGAGGTTTGGTTGCGGCATGGACGACTTGAGTTTGATAAGGACTTCTTGGAATGCCTCGATGAGAAAGGTATAGCTCTGATTAACACAATAAATGATATTCTCATGCTCCGTGCTGGACCGGTTAAGAAATTTACTCTACACCTTGATTATGCATCGCAACCTCCCCACCAGTCTGATTTAGATCGGTGGTGTCGTTTTCTTTCGAGAAATGGTGTACAGGAACTTAACTTGTATATTTCGTGTAACCATAAGCTTCCATCTTGTGTATTCTTGTGCCGGACAATTAAGCAACTAAGTCTGGGTGGTTTCATTTTGGATTTGTCGATCCCTAGTTGTATATTTCCCAGCCTCACTTCATTATTTTTCAATAATGTTGACTTTAGTGACAATGTTAAGGGAATTGGCTAATGTGTTCCTAATCTTGTGGAGCTGTTTTTCTGTTGTTGTAAAGGGATCACTAATTTTGAGATCAGTAGTACAAAACTTGAAAGATATATTGTTATTGGTTCTCTGTTTTGGATGAAGCTTGATGAATCTAGATGGTTCACGCGTTATTTGAAAACAATTAAGACCCTTTGCTTAGGTGCCCATTTCTTGCCGGTGAGAATTTCTACTTTTGCATTCTCTTATCTTATGCAAATGGATTGATTATTAGGATTGACAGAGTTCTTTCAATGCTCATATAATCTTTTTGTTTTTTGAAGTGTAAAGATGCAGAAATAGCGACAGTGACATTCCCAACAACAATAAATTTGCAAGTGATTGAGCTGTATGATTTAAGTGTTTCATGTGGAGAGCAGCTTGCCTTTGTTTTAAAGTTGCTTCAAAATTCCCCCAACCTATGCCAGCTGAAGATTGGGGCATTGAATTGTGTAAGACACTTGAAAACTAGGGACTATATATTTTGCAGTTGTTTTCTTTTCCTTATTAATTTTCTCATGGTTATGGTTGTGTTGTAGCAATGTTCTTGTGATATAACAACGGGTACAAGACTTTTGGAGGAACCAAACAGCTGCATTATTAAGCAACATCTGAAGATTCTTAACACAATCATAATTGTCGGGTTTAGTGGATTTACACTCGAAATGCTTTTTGTGAAAATGCTGCTCTCAAAATCTCCTACACTAGAGAGAGTTGTTATTATGGAACATGGTGATACTGATATAGAAGATGCCTCCGAAGATGTCAATAGCTGGCGAAAGGAATTGTTGTGTTTTTCTCACGCATCTCCGAAAGCACATCTTGTTTGCACTGAAAATGACGACTCCGTGCTCGAACTATTTGATTACTTGTGGGTTTAACTTTGTAGGAATTTAGTATGATAAGCTCCATGGGTTTAGTTTGGATGCAACCTATAAATGTAATTAATGGTTGTGGTGGAAGTTGAAACCTTGTATTATGTTGTAATTAAAGTATTTTGAATCTATAAGCATTGGACTCCAAGAATATGATGTTCTTCTGATCTTTTTACTTTTGTTAATTGTACTAGATTTTACCTATGCAGGTCTTTCTTATGACTTCATTCAGAACTACTCCAAGCATGTTTCAAACTCATTTGTCAGTGTGTAGGATACCAAACTTGTTTAATATATTCCAAAACAACTTTAAAAATGACACTAACAATAGTGAATTGAATTTGTGTATTTATATTAGTAAATCTATGTATTTATAGAAATGAATTTATGCATTTGTAGCAAATTTATTTAAAGTAACGAAGGTTGTAGTTGGTTGTAGTGGCTTATTGCCTTGTGTACATACCCCTGTAAACATCTAGTGGATTGGGCCGAAGTAAGTTGCTCGACAGACGTTGGGCAGACGTGAGTTGCCTGGCAGACATAGGAGATGTCACTCCGAACTGTTATTTCTTACCTTTTAATTTATGTTGTTCATTCTAAAATTACTTATTAAAATTGTGCGTTAATTTCAAACCTAAAAACCAAGTAGAACTTTAGTTGTTTTCTTGCATTCAAGATCCACAGCACAAGTAGAACAGCTCTGGTTTGGCTGCGTAGTTTAGAATTAAATAACATCATTATTGAAACAGATTGTTTAGTTTTTTCTTCAGCTTTTAATTCTCGTCAGTCTGATTTTTCTTATGTTGGTTCGATTGTAAAGCAATGTATTCAACTTGCTAATGACATAGGGACCGTTCAGATTCGCCATGTCAAGAGGTCAGGGAATCGCGTAGCTCACGTTCTTGCGCGGGCGACGGATTCGTCATCTATCCTAGAGTCGTGGTTAGATAACCCACCTTCGTGTATCGCTGCTCTTATGAGCTATTAATGAATTTTATTAGTTGATTTTCAAAAAAAAAAAAGATCCACAGCACAATTTCAATGATCACTACCTACATTACAAAATGCAGTTTACAAATTTATTATTAAAAAAGAAATTAACAAAAGCATTTCATAATCTGTATGATTTTAAATAGAAAGGGTCCACCCCTCACCTTTAATTCATAATTTTGGCTGCTTTATTGACTAATTGGAGGGAATGGACTTTCAATAGCAAAGTAGAAGGAATGTAAGAAAAATAGTATGCCTTTGCAGTTTAACATAAGCAAATGGTGCCAGAGTTAATTACCTCACAAAAAACTCTATAATTCATAAGGAAAACAAATTGCCTCTCTCAATAGACTGCCAATAGAAAAGCATGAGAATAGAGCCAACTAACCATCATCAAATAAAAAAGTATAATCATTTCACATCTTCAAAGTAAAGGGAATACAGTTCGTAGCCTCATGTTGATTGTAACTGCTGCAAAACAGCAGCAGAAGAAAGAGATTAAAATGCATAATCACTTCACATAATTTCTTAATTATTTTAACTTAGACTACACAACATTAGTGAAAATTCAATCAACCTACAATAACTCCTAATCAAGACATAAGAACACATTCACAAGACTTACAGAAGGAAACATATTGTTTTCCCATGATTTCAATTATGAAATGAAATTCATTCAGGTTAATTGCTCAATTTGACTAATATTGTCTTTAGAAGATCGAACAGCTTTCGAAAAACCATAAAATCATTATGCAAACCTACCCAAACACACACATAGGGGTGAGCATCGGTCAGTTTTCGGTTAATAACTGAAATAACCGGAAAAAATTCATCCCTCGTGTAACGGACCGAAATAACCGATTCAATACTCATAACGGAACCGACCGAAAACCGAAATTTTCGGTCGGTTATGATCGATTATTTTTAACCGAACGTTATTACTGAACGGGCTGTAATTTCTTAAAAATATTAGCCTAAACTAAAAAAATTTAACACTAAAAACACATTACTAGTTAAAACATTCAATCACATAAAGATTTCAAAATCAAATGTCCATAAATAATAAAAATCACAAGTCTAACAAACTAATAGTTCATTATTTAAAATATGCTCCAAAGTCTAAATGAGCTCACTGCTCACTGCCAATGTGCAAACTATTAAAAATTAAATGTTTAACAATCCATAAATTCACTAATATGTGATGAAGCAATCTATTACACAGCGTACACTAACTCACTAAGCAGTAAGTAATTTATTTAATTATTTAGAAGTTATGCAGTAAGCAACTACTGAGTCACTAACTACTAACTAAGTGGTTAAGGGAATTAGATTATTTTCTATATCAATGCGTGTTCACTGTGTTGGGCACTTTCAGTTTGGGCTTAGGGGCTAAAAGCAAACTAATATATTTATATAAATGAGTATTAGAGCTTATAAGGTATTAAAATGTATGGGCTTGACTTCGGTTTTTCGGTCGGTTTTATTTTTTTCGGCCCAAAACCGATAACCGATCGAAAAACCAAAATGACCGAATTATTTTTAAGGTCATAACCGATAACCGACCGAAAACCGAAAATTTCGGTCGGTTCGGTTATCGGTCGTCGATTTTTCGGTCGGTTTTCATTTATTGAAATTCACCAGTAGAGTTTTACTAGAGGTTGGCGTTTCAGTATTTGATTTTTTTTTCCTTGATAAAGAATATGCCATTCTTTTCAATTTTAAGCATATATTTTCATAACTCTTTAAAAAAAATTGCAGTTTTAACCCATAAAGCAATAAAAACTATTAAACTTTATTAAAATTTTATTTATTACATAGTATTTTAGCATTTTTTTAATATTTTTTTAATTATAATATTCTACAGTATTGATATTTCATTTGTAAAATAAAAAAAAAAAAATTGATTTTAGAATGTTTGTGTAGGGAAAATATGGACAATGTACCACACTTTAAGATGACATATTTAAGGAAGAAGGTATTAATTTATGTATTTTTCAAATGAAACACTAAAATTGAAAAGTCATAACAATAAAGATAATAAAATTATAAAATACCCATGTATAGTACTAAGTAAAATTTGAATAGAGTTTAATAATTTTATTCTTCTAGGAGTTAAAATTGGAGTACTTTTTTGAATAGTTAGATTAGTATATTGTAATGGTAAAAGTTAGAACTAAAATAACTAACAATGAAGAATTTATGGACAAAAAATACATTTTTCCAATTATATATTTGATAGTGTAAGTTGTTGAATGTTGACTATGATTCATAAGAGACTTCCGTTGGAATTAACTCATGTGGAAAAAAAAAAATTTGAAAAGATGAAAATAACCTTTGTCTAAAATAGGATTTTACCGGAGAAATGATCGAAAGAACTAAAAGTGTCTAAAATATAAAAATTTAGAGTGTTAAATGACAAAAATATTAATCTAAGATTAAATTTGAATTATCACCAAATATAAAGGACTTCAGTTGAAATTCCTTCTTTTAAAAACATAAGAGAAATAGCATTCCGTTTCCCTTGGGTTTTCCTTACCCGCAAAAGCCTAAACATCAGAGGTGAGGATTTCTAATCTGTCACTTCTCCCCCAATCTCTGTTTTCTTCCCAACTCTTCGCTTCCTAATTTACAAAATCTTGCAGTTGAAGAATAGAACGATTTTAGCATTTGATTCGACTGGAGCCTCATTGTTCTTTCAATTTAATGGCTCGAAGTCGTTGGCGACTCAAAACTGTAGCGGATGCAAGTAGGGATTTAATAAGTGAGCTGCCAATAGAAGTAATGGATAGAATTTTGGAGTATTTTCCCACCCAAGAAGTTGCCAGAATTGCTCTGCTCTCAAGGCACTGAAATCATGTTTGGTTGCGGCATGCATGGGCGGCTTACGTTCGATTCCGAATTCTTGCAAAGTGTCGAACGGTGCCAAGATGATGTAGGTAGAACCCTCGTGAACATAATCAATAATATCCTCTTTTTTCGTGTGGGATCGATTAAGAAATTTACTCTACAGATTAAAAATAAAGGCGCATTTCATTAGCTTTTTTTGCATGACTAAACGTTACAAGTTATCAATGTCATACAATGGACTACTATCCTCCATTACGGGACATGCCTCATCATCAT